CCTAGCTCAGGGAAATGCGATTCTTGATACCTCCAGCGCTTCAGCTGCTCTACCCATGGTTCAAGCTTCTGCCGACTCGTCTATTGCCACCGCTATTCCCGGTCTGAATGCTGTGCCAACCCCTTCAAGCACACCGCGTGCCGCCCCTTCCATTAGCGGCCGTTCAAACGCCACTTTAGCCACCGCAACTCAATCACCAACTGCTAGGACAGCAACTTTACGAGGTGCCTCCTTGTCTCCGGTGCTCGCAGCTCAAAGGAGCGCGGCTATCCCACCTATCGGCGAGAGCGCCATCCTTGGCTCTGCTGCTGTGTCAAGCGGCAATACAACGACCTCAGCTTCGGCATCCGCGTCGCGAGTCAACAGGTCCACGTCGCTGCGCAACGCATCGCCACGTCCTCAAGGCATGGCATCCTTGACCAACTCCCCAGATGCTACACCACATCAGACTGGCTCGCGTAGACACATGTCTCACTCTTCGCATTCTCGTCCCGCAGCCCAGCCTTCGGAGGCCGAGAGGAGGCTCTGGGAGTCCAACGTCGCCGCTTCCAATCTGGCCCAAAGCTCCGACGGTCTGCAAGCGCTACTCAGGGATCATCCAGAACTCGTGTCTGATAGTCTTGCTGCCGCGGCTGGGGGCAAGTGGAGCGGTGCGCCTAGCAGGGGAGGTGCGAGCGCATTCGCTAGTCGGTCGGGCAGCGGCCAGACAACACCAGCAGAGGAGTGGGAGGAGGAGCATCAGATTCAGAGACACTCCAGCTTCACCGGGAACCCGAATCTGGGCAGTGCAGGTGAGCTGACTGTTTTGCTTTGCAGATTTCCTCTGGCGAGGATGTGCATGCTGACGCTTCTACTCCGGGTCACTTTGCCTTGCAGGTGCCAAGCCGGACTATTCGGAAGCCAAAATTGTCGTCGCAATGGTCGGATTGCCTGCAAGAGGCAAGAGCTATCTGAGCAATAAGCTCATGCGATACCTCCGGGTGAGTTTACTCTCATGGAGTCACCCTCTCGGGCATCGTCTGCGTACTTACGCATCCGCGCGTTTGTGCAGTGGCTGGAGTACGACGTGCGCGTCTTCAACGTGGGACAGCTCAGGCGAGCCTTGGCGAAGGCGAAATTGAAGGAGAGCGGTGTCAGAGAGGACCACACTGCTACTTTCTTTGATCCCAAGAACCCGGCAGCATTCAAGTTGCGAACGCAAATGGCAGAGGAGTGTTTGGAGCAATTGATTGGGTGGCTCAAGCGAGGCGGCAATGTAGGCATTCACGATGCCACAAACTCCAGTCGGAGTCGCAGACAAGCTATTGCGGAGCGAATCTCGAAAGAGCCAGGTTTGAAGCTTGTATTTCTGGAGAGTCTTTGGTGAGTCTGCTAGACGTGCCCAGAGCGTAGCGGTTTCCTTCTCAGCTCAAGCTTGACGCCACCCCACCTGGCAGCACTGACCCGGCCGTGATCGCCGCAAACATCGCTGTCAAGGTCTCGTCCGGGGATCCAGACTACGCTGGAATGTCGCCCGAAGCGGCTAAAGAAGACTTTCTGAAGCGCATCCGTAACTACGAAGCAGCTTACCAGTCGGTGGATGAGGAGGGTCAGGAAGCACACCTCGCCTATTGCAAGATCACCGACGTTGGTCGCTCGGTCGTAGTCAACCGCTTTGGCGGTTATCTTGAGAGTCGTATTGGTGAGATGACGTGACTGTTGCCCGAAGATCTCGCACAGCCGCTCATGCCTACCACTGGCCACCTGGCGCAGCTTTCTTCCTAATGAATTTGCACTTGACCCCGCGCAACATTTACCTCTCACGTGTGAGTCGACGCAGCCGCAGTAGCCAAGGCCGCAAGATCACTAATAATCTTACTCACGTGCACCCCTCAGCACGGAGAATCCCAATTCAATGTGGAAGGTAAGATTGGAGGTGATGCGGACCTGTCGCCGCGTGGCTGGACGTACGCACAGGCGCTGCCCCAACTTGTCAAAGATGCGGTCGGCGAGGCACCTCTGACGGTGTGGCATAGCACGCTCAAGCGTACAGGGCAGACTTCAAGCTACCTTGACTACCCAAAGCTGGCATGGAAGAGCCTCGACGAGCTCGACGCCGGTGTCTGCGATGGCATGACTTACGAGGAGGTGTGTGAAGAGCGATGTGACAGGTCACTGCGGCCAAAGATAGATCGCTCAACAAATTTGAGCTTTGCCGCTCTGCAGATCGAGCAATACTTTCCAGAGGATGCTGAGGCACGTGATGAGGACAAGTTCATGTATCGATACCGTGGAGGAGAGAGCTATCGCGACGTGGTCGTGCGCCTCGAGCCTATTATTATGGAGCTGGAACGGCAGGAAAATATCCTGATTGTTGCCCATCAAGGTGAGTGTGCATCTGATACGTCTGCACATTTGGCTTCCTCTTGTGTTCAATCTTTCTGAAAGGCATTCCGCTCGTTCGTTCATCTCCGCGTCGTAGCTGTAAGTTTTCTCCCAGAGCGAACATGCGGGGGCTGAATTGCAGTCCGCTGAAGGCGCCACTCATTTTGACCGACAGATCATCCGATGCTTGTATGCATACCTACACGCTCTGCCTCAAGAGGACCTGCCATACCTCAAAATCCCTCTGCATACGTGAGGTGGAAGACATGCGCTGCCGGTCGTACAAGGTCAAAGAGGAACTGACGCATTTCACTTGTTCTCCACACAGTTTGATCTGCTTGACTCCTCGGGCTTATGGATGTGATGAGAAGAGATACAAAGCTCCTATCGACGCGTGAGTGGGGCACTAATCTCAGCTTTACGCCAACTTGTGCTGACGACGCACACGCTTCCTTTAGTGTCGACACGCATCGCCCTCGCGTATCGAAGCCTGAGCCCAAGGCGGAGCCAGCTTCTCC